TAAGTAGAAAGAATTCATCTGAACTTCTGAATTTATTTGCACTAAAGGGTACAATAAACGAATTTGTGAAATATCAACTAAATTTGAAATCGATATCGAATGAGTAGGTACTGGAGTTATAAATAAGAAACAGCGTCAAACTTCGGAATCATTTGGGAAGTCCGGAAATCCCGTGGGAAGTCAGGGAATTCCGTGGGAAGTCCGGAAATTCCTTGGGAAGTTCGGGAATTCCTTGATAAGTTGATTATAATTGGTGACTAGACAACCTTGCTTCATGAGTGGGAATGGAAGATTATCTGACCACTAAAATAAACAGCATAAAACCTGACGTCACCATTTATTCGACGTATCGCCAAATGGCGGCCATGACGGTCTGGATTCAACAACATCGAACAATGCATACACTCATTATTTACATAAGAAAGAGTGAGGAGTGTTTCAAAAATTAATTCAGGTTCCTAAATGTATTATTTATTCGAATCAACAATAGAAGATACAACTTCTGTTATGAATCCAAATTCTAATGTAGGTTCATCCAAAACATCCATTGAGGTCACTCGATGTCATAATATGCATAATATATAGATTTTGAAAATTTGTCAGTCACTGATCACAGTAAATGTTGGCATTATGAAAGTTTATGCAGGCTCTGCTCTATAAATAATATTGACCGATAACGTATATGAGAAGCATAACCTACTAGCTATAATAATGAAGAAAATTTGGAATCGCCTCCACATTCTATCTTCAGGGGAAATTTTCAGGTACAAGTTTCGACCACACGTTAGTTCATCTTCAACCTTCACTACCAAAGATAGAGAGTTTTGCACATGGTGGGCAAACATCTAACAAGTCGTGCTATTCACATTGTAGATTGAAAATGACTTCTAGCGAATAATTCGTTTGTAGAACCGCAATAAAGCAATCAGCCCCCCGTAAGGTCAATAATAAGTAAAACAAACACGCTAGACGATCGTGTGTGTGCACAGAGCGGAGCAAACAGAATTTACCGAGGAGCAAAGTTTGACGAGACGACGAGAGAGGATGGATATCTATCCCGTAGGGACAGAATGGATCCTCACAAAAGCTAATTTTCGATTGAAAGTAAAATGATTCAATTAAAAGGCCGACGTATCGGCCACGGTAAACACATTATGTTGTGCTGCACACCGACCGAGGTCTCTTATGCAAACAAAGATGAACAGGGATCAGGCGAATAGCGAATGTGTATAAATTCAACATTTTATGAGAGGATGAAGGATAATGGTAGGTATCATAGACTTATTATCCCCAAAGAGACGACATTATTTACATTCGGACACGATTCCATAAAAGCAAGAAATACTACCAATAGTGACGTCTATAAGTGAAGGGCGTGAGTAAATTCAGATTTTGTTTATTTTCGATATTTTACCTGACCTGACATACTAATTAACCCTTGAAATCCCATGCCATCAAATTCAACGTAAACACCCATACAGGCATCGTCCACCAATATTCTAATTGGTGGAGGATGATGCAGGGTTCTTCAGAGACCCCAGCTGAATATACAGGGTGTTTCATATTTGAATGCTGATCCTTGAGGGCGATAATCCTTGGATGATTTCAAAGAGAAAAGTTCATATCAACATATGTCCTAAACCTCTTAGTTATTGAGCTACAGGGTGATGAAATTTCAAGGAAAAAATTAGTTTTTCATCATAATTTTTTATCACTCTTAGATATTGTTATGATATTCTGTATACACCTTTTTATTATTAAGGAGCATTTTTTTACGTGGAAGATATTTGAAAATTCTCACCAGTGGCGTCCGTACGGGGTTTGAACTGACAATATTTGAAGAAAAAAATAGTACGCCACTGATTTCTCTGAGAACCAGATTTTTTTTTCAATTCTTATTCATTTTGGAGCAAATTTGGTCCTTAGACTTATTTTCATACAACGTACCGTTTTCGCGTAAAAAAATAAAAACCAAAGAATTTTGTTCCTTCAGTTCTTGGATATTGGTTTTGGTTATACAGTAGACACCCACTATAAGTGGAAACACATTTTGTTTTGAGACGAAAATCGAACATTTACTTTTACCAGTGATGTCCTCGTAGACCTGATATTGAATGTTTAGTTTAAATAAACGCTGTACGCTTCTGATTTCAACACCCTGTAGCTCAAAAACTAAGAGGTTCAGGACATATGTTGATATGAACTTCTCTCCTCAAAATCATCCAAGGATCATCGCCCTTTAGGATCAGCATTCAATTATGAAACACCCTGTATGATTTCAAATTAGTTAAATTCAGTTTTTAAATTGAGTACGTTCAGGAAGGAAAAAACAAAATTATACTCCATATATTACATGAAACTTTATTGGATATTCTAGAAAAGAGATTGAAAGAATATCAGTCTCATAGTCAGCTCATAGATTCCTACTCCATGTTCTCGACTGTTTCCTCTATCTCACGTTGTGTAAGGGGGGGGGGGTCGCTTTCCATGGAAATCGCCCAATTTTTTATCTCTGAAAAATTAAGGAGTAGATAATATAAACCCGTAAATACTCATACGGGGTACCGACGGGACCCCACTAACTTCTAAATCACATGTAACTTCGATACATTCGCTGCGAAATGTGGTCGCAAACTGAATAGTGAATACTACTCACAAAAGTCACAAACGCCAACACAAATACATACCGAGCGACAGTGTTGCCAGTGTGTTCAAGTAAATTCTTGATAGTAGAATTTTTGGACTCGGGGTCCTTAAGCGACCCACCTTGGGGGTTTAAGGATTGATCTCGAAAAAAAAAACGAGAAGCTCAAATTCGGTCGACCACTCTTCATATAAAATACAACATCAATTATTACATGTAACTGGTTTCGGCACAACGACCATCATCAGACATGAAAAGTACCTGTAAATAGTAAAAGTGACAATACAAGTGGAGAAAAGTAGAAATTCAGAACATACCAAACTATACAGGGTTACTGGTAATTCGATACATTCCCTTGGAGATGTGAAAGGGGTGAATTTAACCGTAATATGTTATGCAAAAGTTGATAGTTTTTGAGATATTCAAATGTTTCTTTTTTTCTCCAAAAGGTAGACTTTAAGGGCTAAAAGTTAGTTCCCCGAGAATCTGCTGTAAATTTTTTCAACCTTTCATGGTATTGTGGGAATCCCTACATGTAGGTGTACCCACTGAACATTCCTTTCAAGGCTCGTCTGGCCGAAGTCTCCGAAGACACTTTGGCCTGTTTGCCCATTGTACCATTGTACGTCCAATATGACATTATTGGTTTCACCATATATGACTCATGGTTCTTATATAAGGGCCCCTTCAAATGCCGCCACGGTATTGATTGAATGAATAAATGATCAGTCAGGGTTCGAAGCCGAGCAGCCTTTGGGCCTTTTGTATTCCTGATCATGCTATTGACTTAGGTGAATAGGTTCGCTAGCTTGATAAGGTTCAGCAGCATCTTCACCAAATCATTCGTTGGAAAAGCCTCTTGAGAGTTTAATGCTCCCAGAAGGTTGTATCTCCAACGCGTGCTTCGCACTTCAATATTACATGGGTGGCAGTTTCCTCCTCCTCATTGCATAGTCTGCATATGGGTTCGTCTGTATAGATGCCCATTTGATGCATATGTTTCCTCAAGGGGCAGTGACCGGTTATTAGTCCCGTCACTTGTGTGATCTGACTTCTGTTTAGGTTCAGAATGTGGTTAGTCACTGTTCTGGATAGCGTTCCAACCATCAGTTTACTGTGTCTTTGTCATGGGACATTGTTCCAGTATGCCTGATGTCTTTCTTGCATCCACCTTGCCAGCCAGCCGCGTATTGAGGTTTTGGGGATACCGAACACAGGTTCCGGTCAGCACTGCTGCTCACAGTACCATAGGTTCGTTCGAAAGACACTTTTTATTCAGGTTCCTGCAGACTACTCTTACGAGCCCTGGTCTCGTCCATGAAGAAGGCCAAAAGTTTTCCATCTCCTAAGAGTAATGGGGGAAGGGTTTGGTGTAACCCTGTGGTGCCCCTCACACTGGGCTAAGGCTGTTTACTCTGAGATGATGACCTGTTTCCCAGAGATCCTCCCGTTATCGACACCATATAACCCCGGTGCCATTTTTTCCTCGTCACGGGTTCCCACAACTTGGATTAGGTGGCCAGAGCCTCGTTATCAATGCGCGGCCACATATGCAGGTATTCACAAATTGCGCCATCCTTGCACTCAGATGTCCACAAAACTGTCCCATCTGAGTGATAAGAGCAAAGATATTTTCAAACTGCTCAATCTGCCGAGTGAGGTTGGGCTTTAGGGGAGAAGAAAAACAGAAGAATTGACCAAGAGAGGCCGATAAAAGAGATTGAAAACTGAAGAGTGAAGAGGATGCCATCGAAGACAAGTTGAAGATTAATGAGTATCTGGCTAGGGTACCTCGGGATTGCCATTTCTGTACTCACAAGTCATGAGCCTCTGAGGGAGATCAACACTATGGTCTTGTGTTTGAATTGAAAAAAAATCCAGAAATAATTCAGATCATAGATAAATTGTAAATACAAAGTTTGATTGTTTGTTTGTTTGTGAATTGTGGATTTTAACACTTTCCAGCGATTATTTTTAAAGAAATCCCTGAGCCACATTTGTCAAAAACTTGTTAAGACCGACCGACTTTGAGTTTCTCGTGTTTCTCTTGAAATTACTGTGGGCCGCTTTGAGACATCGATGATTTGCAAGATAAATACATACTAATTAATATTTACATAATCTTTTAACTATTCTTGCAACATTGCAAAAGTCATTGATACTTCCGGTGCTTGTTATCTCACCGAAAGCAAACGCTTGGTTTGGGCTATTAACCTCTGAAGCTCAATATATTCCAAAATATTTTCCTTTCGACAAAAACGTATTTCTTTATGTCGTTTTGTTTTGTCGTATTCTATAAAAAATTACAATACATGAGCAAATAGAATATTCGAGTTATTCTTCCTTTTATTTAAAGGAAGTCCTGGGTGCCGAAGGCATTTCGCTGCAGTTCAGGCACATCTGCAGCCACCTTCTTTGGTGCTGCGCATCTCCCGACGTCTCGAAGAGCCACGGCAAAGAGGAATCCAACGACGAGGTCGAGTACCAGGAACTCCTCCATCTAGTCATCATCGTCACCGGATACTTCGCTATAGAAAACAACAATAACCAGGTGAGTGATCATAATTCAACTCATTTTCTATCAACTTCCACAGGATTAGGGTCCTTTCCCAAAAACGCTGGTTTCTTTTTCAATATCTCAACATACCTGACGTTTTGCGAAGTTAAAAACGCCTCGTTTACAACAATAGGCGGGTAGACTAATTTTTTTTATTCCATGGATAGATCACTATTGAAATACCTCTCAATTTCATATTTTTTAAGAATTTTTTTGATCGATTTTTAGATGCTAAAATCATCAATGATGCCACAGTGATTTTCGAACGGCTAGAAGTTTACTTAACCCTTTCAGTCACGACTTTTCATTTTTTCAGTAAAAAATTTTTCGTGAAAATGGGGGTTGAAGTGATTTTTTATATGATTTTTGAGAATTTTTTGAAGTCCGTACGGCCTTGATTTTTCTGAAAAAAATCATGTTCGTTTCAACGAACATGGTGACTCTACGAGAAGGAAAGGAAATAAATAACTACAACATTGTGGTATATTTCATATGGTAATCCTTGAATCAGTTACGATCACGAGTAATACATAAATGTACACTACATTTCATACAATTAAAATGTGTTTTTTTGAGGCAAGCTCCATTTTTGCACCCTGCTCCATCCCTACTTTCATCAAATATTGGTAAATTGCCCACTTCATCGAGTCACCATGTTCGTTCTAACGTACATATGATTTTTCTCGAATTAGTGTATAAAAAAATATGATATTTGATCATTTCGTTTTTTATATATTATAATGAACATATGAGGCATTGAAAAATGAATTTTGGAACTCAAATTCACTTACTATTTTATCAAAACAAACACGAGAAATGTGTTCATGAACAATAACAGCTGACTCACTGTACACACAGAAGGTAAATAAGCGAAACTTGTATAATATCCCGAGAGATAGTGCTACCTATATCAGTCATTGAATATAAAGGTCCCTCGCGTCTGATGTGGTGTATAAATGGAATGATAGGTGTCGCCTCAATTTACTATTGACACGAAAAGTACATGTTCGTTTTAACGACCATGGTGACCGAAAGGGTTAAGTAGGGGCACAGATGCCATGTATTTAAATACGATTGGAAAATTCAGAAATACTAGTTATTCGATGATAAATCAATTCTCAATTGAGTATTGGAAATACTCCTAATCAGCAACAAAAATTCAATTCTCTCAAAATGTTCCCTTATGATTTGTGGCTCATTGCTTTTAATAAATGTTTGCAAATAAGAAATGTATTAATTCACACTAGAGAACATTTGAATCGGTGAACGTGACAACCACGGTGCACGACTTGTGGGCGTGGTCTTGTCAGTTCTCAGCATTCAGCACAATGTTGCCAAGTCTTCAACATTCACATGATATTTTGTTATGGAGAATAATAAATATTTGGACATGCTGGTTGCTCGAAAGAGTCATGAATGAACTAAAACATCATGGATTCCTCCTATTATGTTTTATTCAACGACATCAGGACTCTTAACATCTTTTTGATAACTTGATTATAATTGGTGACTTGACAATCTTGCTTCATGAGTGGAAATGGAAGATTCTCTGACCAATAACGAAACAGCATAAAAACTGAAGTCACCATTTATTCGACGTATCGCCAAATGGCGGTCATGAAGGTTCGTTTGAAATGAGCTCCTAAATTCAACAATTTCGAACAACGCATAGACCTATTATTTACATAAAAAAAGCGTGAGAAGTGATGCAAAAATTAATTCGGGTTCCTAACGACACAATAGAGTTATTGAATGCCAATAATTCATTATCAGTAATAAAGTAATATAAGGAAGGAAAATATTATTTCTGTATGAAGAAGGATACTACTAGACTAATCTCGGCGTAAATGAACCTTTTTCCTGAAAATTATATTGTTCGAATAATTACTTGAGTGCAAAGAAAATTAAAAAAAGTTGACGCTGTAGGGTTTGAACCCCAGCCACCGCCGTGGTAGTGAGATACTCAGTTCACCGAGTTATCGGATTACTCGAAAGTTCTCACCATGAAGAAAGAAGACATATCGTTTGTTCCTTACCGAAATAGGCACGGGTGAGACGGGTTTATCCCCATTTCATCCACAAATTGTTCATAAAAAGTGTATCTGGTACGTCCTGCTGCGATGACCAACTCAATACGGGATTACACACATTCAAGCTTTGGAAACACGTCTCGGTTTCAGCACTGGCGCGGAGTCCTATCCCAGACAGCACAGAATATTCTATGAATATTCTGGCAACGTTCAAATATACTAATTTCAGAATGTTCTCAGAAAGATAATAGAATATTCTCATCCTTCGGCGAGTATTCTATCGACATTCAATTTGACATATCCTCAGAATATTCTCTTTGAATGTTCTGGGAATATTGTTTTTGAATATTCTGAGAATATTCAGAATCGTATCAGAATAAATGATATCGATGATCTCATTCTTGTAATAATGTTCACTCTGACACAACCTATCATTCTCTAGCTAAATAAACTAAATAAACCTAGAATTTCTCCTAAAATTCATCATTATTAAGGCATATTGCGATTTTCATGAATCTCAATTCTCAATCTGGTGCATCATGAAAAATTTATGGCAACAAAATGTCCAAGTATTCTTCATCACTCGAGCTTGAATCGCCATCGTCAACAATCGTAGAAACTATAGAGGATACAAGAATCGATTTCTCTTCTATGTTAAATATTAAATTTCCAAGATTTATAACAAGTTGAAGGCTAAACATTTAGTTCAGATAAACGAGAAACTACTACTGATGAAAACCATGAAAACGTGTCCCGTAGTGAATTTTTGATTTTATATTTCGGAACACATATTTTCAGCAGAGTCAGTGGATCAACTGACAGTACTGACCAGTTGAATTCGGAATATAGCCTAATTCAGTGTTGGCATCTTGCTATTCATTATCAATAAGGTTCGTGGCGAAGTGGTCAAGGTTTCAGGTTCGTAAAAATTCAATCACAAGATAGTAGGTTCGCATCTCCACACCGGAGCAAGCTCTTTGAAATTTCCTTCCTTCTTCAATATACTAGGGATATTCTCAGAATATTTGAAACAGTCCATTCCGAATGTTCATGAAACATCCCTAGAATATTTGTATCATATTGTGAGAATATTGAAATATTCTCGAAGAATATCCTATGAACGTTCTATGAATGACATTGTGCTATCTGGGATTGCGTATGCCTTTAGAAATACTCACTCGCTATATATTAATTATTTATCGGGAAGAATCTGATTCCGGTGACAAAAGCACCGTGCTGGGTAGGGTGACAAGATGGGGCGTTATCGACCACAATGCGTTACCTGTTAGCTTTCCGCGAGCCATTTGATTCGACTTCCGGTCGCACGGTGGTGCGTTCGACGGACACCGGACACGGTGGACACGTGTCCTTTTTACGCTTCGTCGAAAACAACAGATAATGGCCGAGTCGATGATTCAATGACGTCCGATACCTAGCCGGTCGTTTATTGTTTTTTTTTGCTGCAACCGACTCAAAAGTCGCGAGTGGCGAGTGGACTATCTCTTTTTTATATCTTGAATATAATCACTCAAATACCTTTCAATTTCAAATTCTTTAAAATCATCAATGTCACGGAAATTTTCAAACGGCTAGAAATTTACCGCCAGTAAAAACTGACGTCACGATTCCGTAGGTAGAGGCAGACCATAATACAGTATATACAGTCTGTCCAAGATAAGGTTGAACAGCATGGGGATCTCGGAAACGGTAGGAGATACGAAGTCGCTTAAATGGGGAAAAAGTTGCGCATTCGGAGGCTCATATCAAGAGCCTTCGAAAATTTTGAAAATTATTTTTAGTTTTTGAGTTATATCGAAAAAAGTGAATTTTTGGAATTTCTATTTTATTTTTTTCTCCGTTATTATCAGAGATACAGAAAAACTGAAAATACTTTTCCATTGCAACTTTTGATGAGGTTTAACGTGGTGATACCGATTTTTTTATGCGACGTTTCGTATTCGTGGAACCATCATCAACTTTTGTTTTTTAAATACGGTTCTGATAATTTTTTCACAGATTCTGAAAGGTTTTTTCATTTTGAATTCAACAATGTACTATACAAGGTTATTCGAATGTGTTTCGACCTATTTCTATCCATCATCAATGTTTTTTCGAACTTCCAAAAGAAAAACGCCATCAGTTCCACTTATTTCTGATCATTTAGTGTCAAACTTGATGGATTAGTTATTCAATACTGAAAAGTGAATAAAAAATATTTCACTACATCATTCGATCAATGCAGCGTTTAAAATTGTTGATGAATTCTTACACGAATTACTTTAACAACTTAACTTTGACAATACCTACAGAGACATTCATAACAAATGTTCAAAATGATAACCATTATTTTCTGAACAAAGATATCCTCTTCTCACAGTTGCTTCTAAGACATTGCTAAGCATTTCTGGGGTTATTCTATTGAATGCTTCGAAGACACTGTCCCTTAGTTCTTCTTCATCATCAAAGTTATTTGCGTGTACAAAGTTCGATATATCTCCTAAGAAAAAATCCAGCTGTGTCAAATCAGGCGACCGCGCCGGCCAAGAGATAAACACGCACGGACTTCTGGAATTATGTACCGGAGCGCCATCTTGTTGAAACCAACAGTTCTGAACTTCCGCAATCGGTAAATCATCCAGAGCTTCCTCAAGATGATCCTCAAGCGAATTTCTATAACGTTCGGAAGTCTGTGTTTCATGGTAAATAGAAGGAACAATAATTCGTGTACCAAATATTGCAACCCACATATTAAAGCCGAAACGGTGTTGGTGTCTCGCTGTAATGTATAAATGTTCATTTTCTCGTGAACAATAATGTGTATTTTTTCTATCGAAGCTACCATAATTAGTGACCATGCTTTCATCAGTCCAGATGATTGTTCGAAAGAAATTTGCAAAATTTTAACATTTCCTGGTATACCACTCACAGAATGTCTTGCGCCTTTCGTCATCGCCTGGTTTTAGC